TTTAATAGGATTGAAATCAGTGTTTGTATAAGTGAATTCTGAAGTTGGATTACTAGATAATCGGTGTTGTCGAGAAGAAATTGAATCGGGATGATTATTTCTAAGCAAGACTTTATAATTCAAAAATATAGATCCATAAGTTAAGATGAATTGCAGTGAAACCATCTGTATCTATAGCTTAGAGTTATCAAATAAGTTAGTCTTACCATGTCTTAAGTACAATGATGACGCATAACTGGCTCAGAACATAATGTTAGAATTAATGATTTGAAGGAAGGAAGTCGCAAATTTAAAAGGACTTCAGTTAGTTCCAATCTCCCTCTCACATTGAACAGGAAGTGGACATCCAGTATGAAAGTTTTATTTAAAAGTTGTAACAATGATCAACATAGTCTACTCAAAAACAGTGAGGTCAACCATCTCCCACTTAAACCTCCTATTAGCACTACTTCTTAACTCTTGAGACTTGCCCAGAGGAATAAACAGCTGACGGCAGTGTTTGAGAAGCCGACATGATGTTTTGATAACATATACAGCGCGCGAAGCCAATATTAATTCATTGACCATGCATTGGGTATTCTATTTCGGAACTGAATTTTTCAAATCGCATTTGCCACACATGGTAATTTCGTTCCTCTTCATCAGATGTACCGATGTGCTTTTGTTGTATGTTTTCGAGAATAATACATGTAATGTAAGAATATTCCCATTATCAAAATTGAAACACTTTATTAATATTTGTACGGAGGGCTTATAGACCATGTCAATGCAAAGATTTCAAAAAGATTTGATAGATATCAAGCATTAATCAGAAGGATCCATTATAACATTCTTAAGGATACTTATCTATCCTTAGTTAAACATGATGTTAAAAATGAGCATATTCATTTTATTTATGGTTTCAGTGAAGACAAGTTAGATTGAAAGAAACTTGAGTATGGAGAAAGAGTTCAGTCTGCAGAGTTTTACTGTGATAGCCTCTCGCAAATTCAAGATCGGAGAATGTGCATTCCACAGATAGCTAATAAAAGATGTCAACTCTAAAATGGTTAGTTATTATTCTATTATTTTTGTAATAATTAAATTTCCTTGATACCCGGGGTAATAATAAAGTTTTTGAATTGGTTTCATTCATATCACTTTATGAAAACCTAAACAAATCATATAAAGCTGTATTTTACATCATTAAATATATGGCTGCAATGTTTAGATGTAGACCAAACTTGGTCAATTGTTTCTGCTGTGAATCGTGATTCAAGCCCTAATGCCACTGAATAGCCACTTTAACTTGGTGCAGACGTTTCAATCTGGGGTCCCTAGAGTCACTCTGGGCGTTGGATTTCGGAGAAGGTTTGCTTAGGGTGTCACTACTCCGTCATCATTTTTTCTGAGCTCACAAACTATAAGTTCCATTGGCCAGTATGTAAATTGTTGTCTGTGCGACAGTTGACGATAATAAAATTATTTGCTATAGTTAGGGATTGGTCGAGTAACTCTTGCATCCGGGTTAGTTTATTCTTTCAACTATTCTTTCATTGTTTTCAGCTGGACTTGTGTGTAATATAGCTAAGCTAATTTTCTTTAGAAACATCATTAGAACAACAGAAAGGAACACAAGTGATGTTCCACTACCCCTGCTTATGTGTTGCTTTAATAATAATGATTGAAGTGAATTGCGTGTTTTTATTTTTAGCTATATCGACCAAACGTAATGGACAGAGTTCTGATCTCATTATTTATATGGACTCTAAAACCAGTTTATGACAACGAAGTAAAATGTGGATTTGTCGAATGTAAGTATTTCTCGTGAAAGTTAATGACTAAACTAACAAAAAAAAAATAGAGTTTCATAAATCGACATTATACTTATGCCTTCTTGAATCTCTTCCATGACCATTTTATTTCTAGAATTACTGAATTGGAAAATTAGCTTGAAGTTAATTAGGTGCAAAATTTATTGAGAAAGCACTATACAAACAAGTTCATAATTGCATAGAACTTATCGAATTATAAGTGCAATCACACAAAAATGTATTATTATGCACATTTAAATACAGGACAAAAAGGGAAAAGAAATGGAAAATTATTTTTCATTATAATCAATTATTGATACAGAAAATAAAATATGGTAATTTTATTTTTTATTTAAATATGCTTGACATTTCATATCCTCTTTGGTCTTCTTTATCAGTTTTCGAGAACATGGATAATATAAAAATTGTAGGTGGCATATTAACAATTCTTATTAATATTTCGAAGAATTCCTTTACATCACAAAAAAAATTCAATCTCTTAACACACTCAGATTGCAATACAATTACTTGTCTTCAATTTAACCATCACAAATCGTCACAATAGAAAACGAGGCGTGCACATCCTGTAGCTCAATGGATAGGTAGTTAAAGCTTAAACCATCAGTTTCTAAACCATCTAGCTTTTATTCCTTTTAATAAGGGTGTTTCCATGATGAGTGGGACAAAAGAAAACAGATTGGGAACGTTGTGTATTACCTAGAAATTCTATTTACCTCAAAACTATATTTATTCATGTTTCTACAGTTCAATTATGCCCTCCGGTGACACGACATAATGTATCAGAGGCAATCAAGCTCTGCACCTCGTGATGCCATCCCCTGTGATGGGTTCAAGCACCGATTCACTCTTACCTTCGGTCTAAGTCCGAGGAAGTGGACACTAAACACCTGTTGTCTTATAACGAAATCAGAGAAAATCAAAAGGGCAGTTCAGGATCTGACTCATGAAGACATTCGAATATCAACTTGTGGCCTCAACACGGCCAATCCAGCTGATGGATTGAGATTCATTCACGACGTTTTATTCCAATCGGAGACACCATCTTGCTGCAAATGAATATCCGAACAGCTTCCTCCAGCTGGGAGCACCACTCAGAGATATGTTTGGTCATCGTCATCATTAATCGATTTTCAGCAAGAGAATAGATAGGAAAAACATAACTGTGATAAAGGCAGATATTCACCTTGGGAGATCACGCTGATGTTCTAATGTTACATGGACATTTCTAGTCACAAAATCGCAAATATGGCGATTAACTTATTCACATAAGTGGAACTTTATCATGGTAACTCCAAAGCTGTTCTCGAGCCGTTCACGTCGATACCTTTTCTTCAATTTCAGAAATCTTTACTAGTTTGTCGTGCGGTTTTAAACGCCTGGACCTATATATCTTGGTTTGCATTTGAGACAGTTCCAAAACACATAGCTTGACTCTGCACGTCGCGTTCTTGCTGAGGGACTCCGTAATAACGCAGATCACGATTTTTAACCATCTGGGTATTATACTTTTTGTCCTGCTTGCCTTACAGATAGCCGGTATCCTGAACTTACTGTATATTGTCCGATGCGTGTGGTTCTTTACGAATCATGAAAATGTTCCTTGCACAGTGAGCAGTACGAGGTTTTGGATAATTCGAAAACGCCAGTAGTTTCTCCTGCATGGTGATATTTTGTTTAACGCCTCAGGGCAAGTTCGTCATCTCGATAATTGTTCCCAATTGCAAATAAACTGTATAATTTGTTGCAGTAATAAATTTTGTTTCGACTGGAATAATATTACGGCAGTCACACTGTCTTGTTCTTTATGTCCCTAATAGGTATACCTGTATTAACACACTACAAATTTCAGAGAGAAAAATGTATTATACGGAACGATGATGCAACTCCTGGCCCATGGAAAGTCTTACATTCCTGTATCTAAAGATTGTGGGTTCAAATCCACCAAGGAACTCATTGTTATATATTTATATCTTAATACATTTGTACTTAACTTCTATATGAAAAATGTCAACTGGAGATAAAAGGGCTGTACAGTAAGTCCTGCTGGCCTAATGGGTAAGGGTGTTGGACTCCTCGTTCTATGATGTCCTATCAGAAACACTCTTCTGTAGTTATTTAGTTAATTATGTTATATTTATTCTGCTTATATGAGTATCAGAACTAAATCTATGAAAATAAATATGCGTAGACGTTACCGAAACTCTGTCCTTTTCTTTAATCAATGATGAATTATTTCACTATATCTTTACTGTTTAATCTTTAAAACTACTGTTTAAACGGAAATAATATAGAATTTTTTTTCAAAACATCTGTTTGAAATATTAAAAGTTAATTTATTTTGAATCATTTAATGGAAATTTTTTGTAATTTCATTAAAAGGTTTTGCAGTATTTATCATTCTATTAAAGTTACATAATAAAAAAAATTTATTTTTCTTGTAACGTTTTCAAAACATTTATGTTCAAAGTACATATAATAAAAATAGATCTATTTGTTACATGTTGCATTTAATTATTATATATTGTATAAATCAATCTATGTAATTAAATAACAACAAAAGAGAACCAAAATGAAAAAAAAATAATAGTGTTTTCCATGTTGAAGATTAGCCTGTCGTTGCATTTAAAATCAGTTAAATGCAATAAATCTACCTCCTTTTATTACAGAACTTAACCTGAAAACAAGAACAATAGGCTCTTTTTCCTGGCTGAGATCGCATTACTAACCTAGTCAGGGCAGAACGGTAGTTACTGCGCGTGACACGGCGTTGTACAATCGAAGAGACGTTATTCACTTAATTGTTAGAGTTAAATTTTAGGAGAAAACGTTTTCTGAATAAACAAGCTCATCTCTTTCTTGTGGCTTTTAGGACATAAGCATTGGTTCAAATCCAAATATTATGGGTTCAATTCCAACAGGAATTCAGTTGCAGTATGGACTCATATTGCTGTGTATTTTTACATTGATTCAGCATTTTTAAATATTCTATCAAAGTCAACAGTGGAAATAAGAGTGCTTCTCGCTTCTCCTGTGGCTAATTGCATAAGGCGTTTGACTTGAATCTGGAGATGGCAGTTCGAGTCCTATCAACCTTTTGAATCTGTGGAATATATTTTCACTTTTCTAAAGATATATTTACAATTTCAGTTATTATATCAGAACTGTTCCCTCATTAAATACGAACCAGGCTCACTATGGCTACTGAGATGGATAAGGCGTTGGATTCCGAATCCAAAGATTGTGGGTTCGAGTCCACTAGAGCGTTGTTTTATATTATCAGTATTGCATTTTTTCTATCTATATTTAGTTTTAAACATTATGTTGAGTAACATCATCTAGAAAATAAAGGTCTTTTAACGGCTCCTGTGGCCTAATGGATATAGGTTGATCTGAATCCAAAGTGTGGGTCGGCTTCGGAACAGGAACAGTATTTTATCATACTGCTCTGTTCTTATTGGCATATTACTGTTTAAACTTTGTGTGAGACAAGGCAGTGGAAAATAAATAAATTTGTAGCTCCTTGGCTTAATGGTTTATACATATTCGATATCCAGATCGTGGGTCAATTCGCCAGGGCTCTATTTTAAACTGTGTTACTCTTTTTTCTTATTTTATTTATTTACAATTCAATTGTTATGATAAGTTTGTTTAGCTTTTACTTACGTCTGCGTCGGCGACTATATACAAGGACATCGTAATTTTGACACTCGGTCGGGTGACGAGGACGACATCTGAGCTGACACCCTCTCCTAACTCGCTCACACCACGCCAACCGGTATTTGTTAACAATGTCATCCGAAAATAAGATGTGTTTCTGCTGTTCCTCAATAGTAGATAAAGTAGCTTAGGATTCCGGAATCTAGTATGTTTCGTGTTACCCAAGATTTCAGGTTTATATTTGACATATTGTTCATTACTTTACATTCATTTATTATATTAGATTACGAAAACTCTAGATTAGAGTTCAGAATTCATCCTGATGTTTGATCAGCTTTTACTTTTTTCTATTACATTGTTTAAACTTACGTTATAAAAGTTATGTATCTAACTATATTTTATTATAATGACGTTTAAAACTTTTTACATTTAGATCAATGGATAACACGATTTCTGCCGATCCTGTAAGTGTGGTATATAGTGTGGTATAAGTAAGGAACCTCTATAAAACAGAGACATGCCTGAGGAGTTTTTCAATATATATATATATATACTGTCAGCTCGTATTTATACATCCACATTGCAGTTTTGATATGTGCATTATGAAAATCAATGACAATACGGAATCTAAGTAATCAAAAAGTATAAGACATCATAGAATTATTTTTGAAAAGGAAATAATATAATGCCATACATGTAACGGACAACATATGGCTATTGAAAATATGTTTCCATACAAAATAATGTGGCAAAACATGTTATTATTTTCATGAATTATCAAATAAGAAACTGAAAATATATAGTTATTAAGTTTCCATTTAATTCGAAGATTAAATAATGAACGAAACTGAAAACTCTTTTGTCACGTCGAATGAACAAAATACCATGTGTATTTTTGCATTAAATCATAGGTTTCTACAAAAAACAATAATATGAGGTGATTTTGCTCTTTTTTTCTGTATAATGCTCAAATTAGGAAGAAAGAAGGGATTATTTCTGCACGCTCTATAAAAATAGGAAAAACAGAAAATTAAAATATTACCTTGAGTAACGATTAAACTTTTACGAAATAAAGGAGATTGAATTTTATGAAAACATTTTTTAGTATTTTCTAATGTAGGCATTCAAAAATAAAATTGATCTAAAGTGTGTTTTCCATCAACAATAGCTGCTATTTTAACATCATAAATACGTAACCGAACGAAGCACAAG